GGGTTCTTAATTCGCTGGCAAAAAAGGGAGAATACTACTCCTGTTGGAGCCACACTGCCAATGCTGCAGTCAGGAAAGCAACCGCGTCGGGCACAATGGAGGAGGAGGATGCCTGGGACGTAGAGGCCCCGACTGCGCGAGATAGTTGCCCGTGGCTTATAGGACGAGGTAGCTGGTAGCCTAAACTGATGTCACGTCCCCGTCCATGGCCATAACTTGCAGCAGTTTGTGGAGGATGTGGAGGTGGTACGCTGTAGCTCTGGGATGTTCGAAAGTAGAAGTATTTTAGGCGGGGGGTCGCAGGCGAATAGCTTACGTGGCAATGTCAGGAGAGCTTCCTCAACCCCTTCTCCGAGAGGGCTCAGGTTCTCTTTGACATCCGCAAGTGCAGGACAAGCCGCATGATCAGTGGCAGTAAGTCACCACTTGTTGGAGTTCTGAGTGCTTTTCCTGGCAAATCCATGGCACGGATGCGGACACAGAACGCCGCAAATTCTTGAAGATTCTTGGGCTGGCGACAACTTGCTGGGCAGCCAGCTCTAAGAAGGGCGCGGCAGCAGTTACGTGTGAATATAATTTGTCCAGCTCGCTGTTTCAGCAGGACTGGGGATTCCTCCGACTTGCTGTGCACCGGCGGTCTACTGGACCTAGTCCGCGGAAGCCTGACCTGCAGCACGGAGGAGGAGCCCTTATAGCCTTGTTGCAACCTGTGTCGTCGGCAGTGGATGAACAATTCTCGATGCAGCTTGATGGCTCATGTTCTGCGACGTGCATCACAGGCCGAAGCTGCCTCCATCCAAGTTGATTCATGTTTTCCTACTAACTGAGCAGGTCAGCGCAAAAAAATGAGAAGCATCACACACAACAATCCTCAGCCGCACAGGCTTCTGAGTGAAGCTTCTTAATTTTCCAGTGCTTGGATTCCCATGGCTCCTTTAGACTGCCCAATCCCTGTGACTCTTATCGCGGGCTCCTTTGGAGCTGGAAAGACAACCGCCTGCAATCAGCTTCTGGAGCTCTTGGCAGCCAAGGCTTGGTACGAAGCCTGTAGGACTGCAAGCACCGCTGGCGACTTGCAGAGACTAGCTCATGCACAGGCGCAGAATGTGGCGGTCATCACCCACCGATTTGCAGAAGAGTGTCTTGACTCTTGTGAAATCCCATCGTCTGGCCCCATGCAAACTAGGCAGGGGTACAGGGGCAGCGTTGATTGTGCGCCCACGTGTCCATTGAGATCAGGTACGCCTGTCAGCCCTTGGTGGTGAACTCCGCGAACTGCAGCCTGTTGGAGGAAGTCTACGACTATGGAAGCGGCTGTCTCTGCTGCACTCCAGGAGGTGAGCTCAACCAACGTCTCAACAGCATGATCACCTGGGGACTCCTGGCTGCAATGGGCAAGCTTCTCTTGTGAGTGCGGCGTCGACCCCGACAGCAAGGTGAGCAATATGATCATGTTCTTATTCGAACTGGTCCGGCTGCTGATCCTTTGATCTTCGCGGATGCTGTTCAGCGAAGCCCTTCTTACAGGATCGCTGGCGTGATAACTGTGGTTGACGCGACCGTGTGCCGTGCTTGGAATCTGCACTTGCATAGGCGTGAGGTGCACATCATGCAGTAAAGCGCTACCATGCCCAACTCCATGGCAAAGTGCTTTAGAACTTATAGACCTTAAACCAAGAGTCGACAGAGCATGTTTGACGGGAGGCATGTTGCGACATGTTTATGGGCCAAGGCCATGCTTCGAAGAGCTGGGGGCCGGCCCTTCCATGGATCAGCTCAGTGCAGCTGATGTTCTGCTGGTCCGCGGCCAGGTTGGACCATGTGAAGAAAATCTTGTTCAGATCATGCATCTTCCCAGCTTCCAGTCAGGAGAAAGATCTCAGCGCCCTCCTCCCTGTGCTCAAGCTGAAGGAATCCAGCATGCTCAGATGCTGCTGTAAAGTTGTGTTCCTACTGTACCTTGAATCCTGCGGCTTCCGTCTCCAAAGGAGGTTGCCGCTCGAGTTCAATTATGGGACAGCCCGCTGGGAGCATCCGACTTGGCTTTGTTGGCTTCCCGCCCAGCTGGTAGAGAGTACGTGTGCAGCTTGGCCTTGTTTTGAGATGGCTGGAAGACTGCACGCATGATGTAGTGAGTGAGGAGGCAATGCAAAAGCAATCCGTTCCAAAGATTTATGAATGCCAAAGTCCTCAATGTTCCCAGCATTACACATACATGCCCCTGGTGGTCGTGATGAGATTGGACACGTGGGAAGAGGTGCTTCATAGCATCTCTAAAATCAGAAAAAGCATTCCCAAAACTGAGTATATGGCCTGCTGAGGTAAGCCCGCAAATCTGGTGCCCAATTTCATGGGCGCCAATCACGACACCGCTTTCCGGTCTGTTCAGATCGTCGAGAATGGCCTTGTCAAGAGCGTAGATGCTTGCAAGGCTCGCTGGTGTAGGTCCTTTGCATAATTCATAACTTCATAAGGTTTTGGCAACCTTCTTCCAAGGGACCTAGGTTTGCCCTTTGCCACGCCAAGAAACTCTGGAGAGTTGCCAGCAATCTTACCTGGTGGTTTGACCAACGGTGAAAAACAAGCAGACAAAAACCGGAGATTCGTGCGCGTGTGGCAGCGTAGCAAGTGCTTCGCAAAAGCTTCGTGCGTAATCAGCATCTGCGTCAATGCCACTTGTAGACTCTGGCGCAGGGCTGGATTGCCAATTTGATGATGAACCAGGGCTGCTTGGCCTGCACTTCTGCAGGGACGTCCATGAGCTGCATTAGCAGCCAAGCTCTTCTGACTTGAAGCTGATGCTTTTCGCACTTAGTAAGGGTTCTGCGTTCGGCTGAAAGCAGTGGTGCCGATGGCGGGTCCTGACGGGCGCCAGTTTCTGTTGATCAACGCGGTGCGCGGCAAACCAGCAGAGTTCTCCATCGCAGCTCGCACAATATGGACTTTGTAGCTTCAGGAATTTGGTTCCTGTGCTGTCTGAGTCTGTACTTAGCGAACTGAGGTCGCCGAGGCACCGCTCCAGATTTACATGGGAGACCTACCGGTCTTGGTGGGCATGCGTGAGATGGATGTAGACGAGCCGCTGTGTCGTGTGTTCATATTGCTGCTTAGCGTGCATCAATTTGCTTCTGCATGTAGCAATGTAGCTTAAACGCTGAGATCACATGGTCCAAAACCAGGGGAACGCGTGTGCAGCTCCTCTGTGCCACTTTTTTCATGTTGACGGCAAGTTTACAAGCAGGCCACACGAAACATGCCTCCCTAGACCGGGCCTGCCGACTGTTAATGCTGTGTTGCTTGTGCTTTGCTCATTGTTCGTTTCTGGGCGCACTGCCTACTGGGAGTGAGGCTGGGCCCTCCATCCGCAAAGGGCTTGGGTGATTTGCCTGAGCTGGTCGCCGCCATGCCCTCGAGCGTGGACTTGTCTGAAGCCTTCCAATCAGAGATTTTGGGTCACTGACGCGTGCCGCGCGCACCATGGAGACAGCAGCCTCCTGGATGCGGAGCAGTGCTCAGTCCAAGAAGATGTGGAAAGCATTGGGTCAGAAACCCGTGCTCACTCTTCCCTTCCGCCTCTACTTTTGTGGTTTAGCCACTTTAGGCTTGTGAAAGAATTTCCCGATTCATGCATCTCTTGCTCGAAGCACGCGATGCTTTTCCAGGTGCTGTGCTCGAATGAGACTTGCCTGAACCGATCACTTGCCGTTGTCGGCAGCGGCAGGAAGACAGGTAAAAAAAACATCTGAAACTAATTAGAGAGCTGCTCAGCAAGGACTAGCGCCAGTATGATCAGTGAAGTCATGGTAGGATCCTGGTGGAGCCCTTGCCTGATGCCAAATGCCAGATCTCGAAAGGAGTTCGAGCAGATTTACAATCTGGCCTTGACTCTCACAGTGGAGAACGACCACGCCACCGTCGTTCGAGTTGCTTCCCCAGACGCATCAGCAGGGCATGAGCTTTCACGCTGATGCGAGTTCGCTTCAGACCGCTTGCACAGTGGGAAGCGCAATCATGTTTTCCTGTGGGGCCACTTGGGACTGAAGGTAAAGAATGGGTTCCATTCACCTTCTGCTGGTGGATACTGCGACCTGAAGCCGCTTGCACAGCCAGGGTTGCGTGGACAGTAGGCGTAGATGTTGCAACAGCAGTTAAGCCTCATTGCAAGCTTCAACTTCGACGGCCGCCGAGGCTCTTCCTGCTCATTGCGCATGACAAGCCCGAGGATGGTGCAACAGACGGGTTGAAGGTCCGCGTTCTGAAGCAGAGTGAGTAACCGGAATTATTTCTTTCCACAGCGCCATCTTACGCCTATGTGTGTGTTGACCTGCCTTTGCGGTAGAGCTGAAGCGTGGTGCTGCTGCGAGGTGTGCCACATTTGTGAGCTTCAAGTTCACCTGAAGCAATTCTTGGCATGCAAGAAGTTCACGCACTTGCCCTATGCGCCTTGCCTGCAAAGATGGCATGCATCAGTTTTCCATGCAAAGCCTGCTGTTGTTTGACCATTACGAAGCCGCTTGCCTTGTCCATGCAGTTCCATCTCCACGTCCACTCTGCAACCGCTGATCAAGCTTGTGTGGCACGCAGGTCATTGACCGTGGTGACTACGATCAGACTTGACCCTGAGCATCGTACATACAAGCATAATATTGCAGTTGCAGCAGCATGTTTTCTGCAAACCAAGAAGAAAAACAACTGTAGCAATCAGAACAACCTAGAGCAAGTCAACATTGGGCCATCATAATGGTGCAACATCTTTTTGATTGAGCAGTGAGGGCAGAATGCTGGATGTAATTGGATGTGTATTCTGCGATTGTGGAAGTTCACGCGAAGCGGTCCCTTCCGCAAAGATTAGCTTTGTTACATAGCTCAACGGCTTAGCACAGCGTTGGACAGCTCGAAAACTGAGCACGCACTGTGAAGTCGAGAAATCTGGTCGAGGCAACGAGGACATTGGGTGGCGGCATGAATTAGGTTCATGTTTCCACGCGAACAAGGCAAAAGCAATTGGCTCGACCATTGTCCAGCAATCAGTCATCTGTGGCAAATGCCCTGGTTTTGTCCTGAGCCCAGCTAGCACCTGCAGGAGGAGTACAAGAACTCCCATGCAGATTGAAGTGAGCATGTTAAGAAATGATATATAGGAAACTCATTTATGACTTTGTCACCTTTGACCCAGCTCTCGCCAGTTCCTTCACAGGGCTCTGCTTTCAACAGTCCTGCCAGGCAAGATCCCCACTCGACTGCAGAGCCATTCTAGCGAAATGTAGCTGCTGGCCCAAGCTTGCAGGGCCTCCTTGTAGTTCGAATGCTGTCATGCTGTCCATGAGCGCGTGCGGAAGTGTGGACTGTTGCTTGCACAGTCGCTTCGTTCGACCTCGCCGTGTTCCAGCTAGGCTGCATGTAACCAGCACGAGCCAAGTGGGACCTCTGAGATCTGTGAAACAAACAGAGTCCAGGGTCAACAAATGGCATACGACATGGACAAGCACCTGCTTTAGATCAGCTGTCGGCGCGGCTGGTGCTGGCTGCGCCGTCCTTTCGCGACATGCCTCTCGTGCTCATTCAGATTATGGCGATGTTCCAGGAGCAGCTCAGAGTCGAGAAAGTCGAGGTTCATCGTTGGCTAACTCAGATCCCAAGACACGTAGTTGTCCAACAGATGTAGCAAGACGGGCAGTCGACGGTGCCGTCTTAACCAGTGTCGAGACCGACATTCTGCGGCCACTTCCACCAAAGGTGGAAAACCGCATGTCGGAGTTTGACAAGGGCCCCTATGCAAGCCCAGAAGCGCTTGAGAACGAGGCCTTCTACCTTCCAGCAGTCCATTGCGAAGCTGACGATAGATCCGTGTTCAATCGGCTCATGTCGGAACTGGATTTCAAGGACTGCTGGCTTGACACGGGCATGAAGTTTTCACGGCAGATCTGCATTGGAGATGAGGAGCTCCTCGCAAGGGCTCCCACATACAGAGCAATCGTAGAAAGGGTGACCAAGATTTTCGGCGTTCGGGCTGTGCGGACGCTTGTTAACTTGTATAGGGACGGCACTGACTGGTGCAATCTACATTCGGATCAGTATCACCAGGGTGGCTATCCAATCGATTTGACCGTTGGATCCACGTTTGGGGCCCCACGGAGGCTCATCTGGGTGGAGAAGAAGAATCCGCGTCACAAGATTGAAATGCCTCAGCTCAATGGTGACGTCTTTGCTTTTTCTGACATGATCAACACTACGTGGCGGCACATGATTCCGCAAGAGGGCCCAGAATGTGGGCCTCGCATCTCTGTGATTGTTTGGTGCAACAGGGAAAAGGACAGCGGTCACTGGATGGGGTCACTTGGTGCATTCCCACATATGCTCCACCAGAACCCGAAACGCAATGGAATGGATTATGAGGCTCGCCCAGGGCACTACCTGAGGCGGGACAAGGGGAAGGGCAGTGGAAAGGGCGAAGGCAAAGGGCGTAGCAAGGGCGCTGCAAAAGGCCGCCTACAGCGATCAGCGAGTACTGAAAGCTACGAGCCTGCTCTGCCACCCCTTCCTGACGCTGAGCTTGAGGAAGCTGTGCAAGCTGCAGACAAAGCCCTTACACTGCAGGGTGCACAACAAGTCTATGCAATCTTGAGGGGAATCAAGCTGCTGGAAAATCGTACTTGGGCCATCCCCAGTGGTTGGTATGCGCTCCATGCCGGTGCCCAGCTGATCAATGAGGATCGAAAGCAGCGAACCCTAGAAGCCTGGCCTGAGGCTCCAGCCGAGGAAGATTTGCCCCACCGAGCCATCGCTGGCCTCTTCTACGTCCAGGAGCACCGAACACCCAAAGACTGCAAGCCAAACTACATTTGGGCACGTGGTCCTGTTTGCAATGTCATCTCCCGAGCTGTGGAATTCCAGCGTCCAATCTCTTGCCGAGGCGACCGCGGTCTTTGGGACTTGGGTAATCTCAAGCAGCGTATTCGCAGGGAGCTCCACAGGTCCGGGTCGGAAGTGGTCGTGAAGCATTTTGACTTGACGCCAGCCTTAGGCGCTTGAGGGCATCTCGCAACCTGCTCCTGTGAGTCTAGGAACACTTGGCAAGGAGTAGTTTGATCCGTGACCCAGCCATTAGTGCAACTTGTGTTGTTAAAAGCTTGCTGATGTGTTGTGCTCAGGGTGCAGGTCACAAGGCACACTGTACGGGGATGCAGGCATGAGCACAGTGAGTGAAGAGGCACAAGCTACTATCCGAGCGGATATTGTCTTGGGATTACGTACATGCTTCTCAGACGAGGTGCCGTAAAAAGACATGTAAGGTTGACGTCACATAGAGGATTTAGGGAGCACCTCGTATTATCAACAAGACATCTGAGGCCAGTCGCTGTCCAAGCTTCCGCAAAAACGACATCTCGGTAAGGGCCCAATCTGTCCTGTGACTCAACCTCCCAGTGTCCTTGGAATGGAGGCAAGTCTTTTATCAGGCACCAGGTGGCATCAGCCTGTGGTGCATCACGGTAGGTCAAAGGTTGAATCAGCTACGATCATGGATCAATGTGTGTATTGCAATAGGCCGGAAGCTTTTTACACATTGCTGACTTAACTCCTTTCGGCCCGAGGTCCGCAAGGTCGTGTACTTGCTTGAAAAGAAAGCAGAAGGTGCCTTGTTAAGCGTCAAGCATTCCAGACAGTGAGGTGGCGCCAGCTTCCTGCTCCACCTAGGCACAGCAGGATCTGCCAGGGCTCTTACTTGGGTTGCAGGACCTGCGCTGAGTTTCAGGGCCGCTGCAGCAGTAGCAGGCATGGCCGCAGGATTCACGTCTGTGGGCGCGCTGTTGTAGAATACTGTGCCTTGAACTGACATCAGCAAGAGATGTGGAATGCAGCTGATTGAGCCTGCAGCTGCCCGCTGTTGCCAACCATAAGGTGCAACTGCAGTGCTCGGAAGTGTGGCCGCAGCATCCCCAGTGTATTACGGACCACGCGTGAACCTTGAGGAGAGACTCTGTCCTGTGATTGCGGAAGTCCGCACATCGCGCCACAGTGCTGGCGCACATGCCCGTGGATTTCCGTCATTAAGGTTGCATGCAGCCCTTGGATCACTTTTACAGCCAGAAGCACTGTAGTCAGCTTTGATGCTCCCTAAAGCCAAATTGTTGAAGTGCGGGCATCCTCTGACTGATCGCGCGCATGCTGCTACTGCCTGGACCGTTGCATTTCAGCTTCACATCATAGGCAAACTAAGTGCCATGTTGAGCCACGTGCAAATGACTATGCAACGCATATGGTGCGCTCCCAGCATAATGGGCCAGTCGGCTTCGCATGAATGAGCTCACTGCATGTATGCGAAGGGCTAGCCCATCATACAAAAAGGATTTGAGGCACGGCTATGCCCCGCGCATTGCTGTGTGGGCTGAACTAACCCCTGCCAGATAATGCTTTCAAGTGTTGTTCTGACACGGGTGTAAAATAAATAGTGCAGCAGATGATGGCGCAGATTGACGGCAAGTAGGTGAACATTTTCCAAAGGATACGGCTGGAGCTCTGACGGTTACAGGGCCATGAACTCCATAGAAGCACAAGTGCAGTGCCTGCAACGCCATGTGGCTGAATTGCAATTGCAGACGCTCGGTCAGCAAGATCTCATTAGAGTGAACTCAAGGATGCAGACAGCAGCCTTACATGGAATTCTGGAAGGGGTGTGGCTTGCAGCAAAGAGGAACGGATGCAAATGCCCTTGAGAATGTGTGAGTCATGCACCCCAAACTCATCAGTAACAGCCAAGCAAGGCTTCTTGTCAAGGAGGTCGTGCACTCGCAGGCGGGCCATGGAGTACTTTGCTTGCTCCTGGAGTGGACTTGCTTCTCAAGTTCTCTAGCACTTGTTCCAAGGGTATAGGGTGGTCTGGGAAAGCACTCCTGCTGCATCCAAGTGAAGGTCCTGGCCGCAGCTTTGAAGTGCTGTTCGAATCATGGCTTCTGTGCTCAAATCATGAGGAAGAAAGCGCTCTAAAAATCCAAGGATGGATTGCAAGCATTGCAAGCTCATGCAGTAAGGCTTGGATGCTACCCCTGCTGGGCCTGGCCCTCAAATCCTCGGCCTCGGGCGGATGAGCTGAGAATTCTCATGGGTTGCACGAGGACTGGCGCAAGTTCTGTGCAAGCCGAGGCTCATGTTGGTGCTTGACCTATAGTACTTTGAGCCACGCTGGCATGTGGTGTTTGCAGGCTGACACCAAACCACTTTGTGAGGTTGGTGAAAGCAGAGTCTTGAATGAACTGATTTCTTATGTGGTTGGATGTGCTTCTGGCTGTAGTTAGATGAAGAAGGAGGTGTACAAATCTATAGCTTATGCCCGCAAGGGGGACCCTGGGGATATGTGGGGTTGTAGGGTTGAAAAAGGTCCGTGCTGAGAATTGAGTATGCAAGCATCACTTTGAGAAGCTCCTATAGGGCCCAATACCACATGTGGATCAATATCTTATATTTTGTCGACACGGGCCACAGAAGATGCAGCATGAGGTAGCAAGAGTATAGCAAAGAAAGGGTTTGGGGTTTTAGGTGTAGCATGGTGTAGCTGCCGCCAGAATCATCTTGCTGGGTGTTCGTACACATCCAAGGAGAACCACTGGAAGATGTTGTGGACGCGCAGTCCTCATGGAACTCTGCGAACCTCGAGCAGGAGTCTCTGCCGACGCAGGCTCAAGTAGAAATCCGGTGCGATGACGAGGCACTGACAGTAAGCAGTGCGTTAAGTTGCAGTGTAGAGTGAAGGAAGAAGGCAGTGCTAGGTTTGGGGCCTGCATGCATACATGTTGCGGCCGTCTTATAAGCTATCAAGTGTTTTCCGCGCCCCTGAAGCGACAGCCTTGCAGCTTGTACAGTACGCAAGGTTCGCAGGCAACTTACGAAATGGAGGCCAGCTCGGCCACGAAGCAAGGTGCAATTCTCAAGCAGGTAGAGTATTATCTCTCAGATGAAAATCTGCGAAAGGACGCGTTCTTCAGCAACCTGCTTGCCAAGAACCATGGATGGATTGCAGTTGACCCTTACATTCTCTCCTGCAACAAGATCAAGGCACTTGATGCAGATGTCGAAGAAATCCTACAGGCCCTTCGTGGCTCCAGTGCCCTGAGAGTGGACAGCGCTTCTGGTCAAATTCGGCGGCAAGTTCCGTTTGAACCAGGTGTGGACAAAGGCAAAGGTGGCCAAAAGGGCAAGGATGGCAAGGGCTTCAAATGGTCGGACAAGGGCTTCAAAGGCAAAAGCTCGGATGGAACCGCTTTGCACAGCTGGGCAGCCGACGTGGACGCTCGAGCAGCACCGGTTTATGATCGCACTGGGCCATGCGGTTATTTCATGGCTGGCTATTGCCAGTACGGCAACAGATGCCAGGTGCAGCATTGTGTAGATTACGCGGAGGCGATCAGGCACGAGTGGCTGCATCCAGGAGACCCGGGTGCACGAAGGGCTCTGCAGGCAGCCGCCTCGAAGCTGCTGGGAGAGCAGGATGCTCAAAACTTGTTCCCGCGTGTCTTCTCCCACAAGCTTCACTGCAAGCAAGCCGCTGCGCAGTCGGCAGATGACTTGTCAGACTTGGGATTCCAGTGGAGCCCAGACAGTGGTGGGACTTCTGAAAGCACGACTGCTTTGCAAAGGCCCGGGCGTTGGACGCGAAAGCCTGCCGCATCCAGAGCACCGCTTGAGCCTTGCGGTTGGCCAGAGCCCTCTCAACGGATCCGGTATTTTCTCGTCTTCGACCTGGAAGGCAAGCACGAGATCATTGAATTTCCAGTGCTGTTGATCGACGCTGTAGCTAGGAAAGAAATCGGACGATTTCAGCGATTTGTACGCCCAACAATGCTGTTCGATGGCTGCCCTGTCATGGACACGCCAGCCGTGCCCTTCCCCGAAGTTCTGTCAGAGTTTAGTGCTTGGCTTTCAAAGAGTATTGGTCGAGGACTTGAGGATCTTGGTAGTTCCGATGCAACGGATGTTGCTTTCGTGACGTGCGGCGACTGGGATTGCAAGCACATCAAGACCCAGTGCGGTATTTGTGGTGTGCCATTTCCCGCGGCATTCCGCCAGTGGATAAACATAAAGCGTTCATATGCAGACGAATATGGAGGCGAATTTCGAGGCATGAAGAGTATGCTTGCAAAACTCCGCCTGCTCGACAGGGATGGCAATCCGAAGCACGGCTTCCACCACCTAGGTATGCACGATGTGGAAAACATCGCTCGCTGCTTGATCCATCTAATTGAAAGCGATGTTATGCTTGAAGTGAATGGCTGGCAAAAAGCCTAAGCAAGGTTGGGCTGCTAGGCTGCTAGGCTACATGCAGACCTGTCAGACTCAGCGGGGCAACCTAGCTCCTCTCTGTTTGCAAAGCTTCGCGTTGTACAGTTGGCGCGAGTCCGGCAGAACAAATGTGTTTTTGTCGGGATGTCTCTCAGTCGACGCAAGTGGGATCCAACGACCGACATACAACTGCTCTGCAATTCGCTTTTCGCCAATTGCATTTCAGCTGCCGCATCTCCAGCAGCAACCCAACGAGGATCTCCCATTTGGTTTCGCTAGCATCTTCCTTGCATGAGGCAGTGATGAGTCTGCTTCGAGAGCTCCAAGAGGACCTGCACTGCTCACCGTGGTTTCCCTTCTGCGTTTGTTGTATGCAGGACCTCGCACACGCTCGGTCTCGGCCAATGGAGCCCAGACCCAGTACAGCCACAAGCTCGGTGCTTGGTCACCACGCTGGGATCATGAGGGGGCCTGAAAGCATAAATGCACAGATGACAGCACAGGTGTCGATGCTTTAGTGGTTGAGAACATTGTAATGACATGCATTCAGAGACGTGCAAGCCTTCCCTGAGCAGCAGGCCAGCTCCCAATCGAACCCGGCCGACTGGAAGAGCTGGTAGCCGCCAACCTCAGCCAGTGGGCTACACGGCCTTTCAGGAATTTGAAGGGATTGACCGCGGTGATTAGCCATGCTTCCGGCAACACAGCCAAGGGGTCTGTGGAAAAAGCTCACTTTTCGTCATCGTGCGTTCAGCTGAAAATCAGTTGGTTGGGCATCGAAGCTCTGAGGTTTACCGTGCAGATGATGTCTCCGAGCCACTGCCAGAGATTCCTGGAATTTCTCTCGTTGCAGAAAGCGTGTGCGAAGACTTGCGCACCGGAAGTGTGAAAATGGCCCTCGTCACTGCTGAACTACCTGGAAGACACCGGACTCTCTTTGTGGTATTCAAAGGCAGCTCATATTTGCTTGACTTCATCAACTGGAACCTGGAGCATGACTATGAAGTCATCGGGGATGGCAAAAATTTCATGCACAAAGGCGCGGCTGGAATCATGCGCAACCTTTTTTTCCTCAAGGTCCAGCCAACGTCCACTTTTGCAAAGCAGTTGGACTCTGCTTACAGCAGCGGGGTTCGACATTTGGTTTTAACAGGCCACTCTCTTGGTGGCATGTATGCCATGTCTGGCATGTACTTCATCTGGAAGGAGCTACAGACTCTCCTCCCAGCCGCCATTCTGCATTTGCATGTTACGCTTGTGGAAGCTTCTAGGGCTCCGAAGCAGACGTTGAAGGAAGGCTTCTCGCAGGGAGCGACGGCAACATTGGCTACAGTAGCATCACGACTAGGCATATGCGGCGTCTTCTGCATATGACATCTTATAGAGGCCTTAAGGCACGGTTAATTCGGGGTTTCTCTACATGTGGTTTTGCAGCGCAAAAGCGATGGTGAGTCCAAGGAGCGCAGCCGCCTCAGAGGCTCAGGTCGAACGCTGCTTCATTCGGCGCGCTGCGTCGCTTTCGGTGCGCCCATGTGCCTGATACTGCTAAGTTGTGCCAGAGGATGCAAGGTTGCTGTTGCACAAAATTGACTATCAGCATGTGTGTTCTGAGCAAGTTGTCAGATTGCATGTGACATCATGTGACCTCTGAGTGGCCGGTAGCACCGCGAAGTCGTCAGTACATAAGCCGCTCAGCATCCAATTGTTCCTGGCTATTCCAGGTGCTTCGGTCGAGATGCTGCGGCTGAACCAGGCGATTCGATCCTTTGCTCAAGAAATCCGTAAGATAGGTGCACACCATAGCTGTTTGTTAAAGACTGCGTCGCAATGAATTACAAGAAGTTATACATAACTGGCTGCTATGTTGGTTGGTCACTCAGGAAGCACTCCAGGTTCGAGGCCTTTCTCAAAGAGAAGGCTGTGAACTTCATCAATGCAGGCGCATGAAGCAGCCAATCGCGTGGCCAAAAGTGCAAGCTGTCCTTATCACCTGTCTTGCTTTGGGAATCTGGGAACCCAAGCCGGGTTTTCACTTTGTTTGAGACTTCCCAGCCTCCATGAACATCAGCATGCTGTTCCGGAGTCTTGTGCCAGGGGACCCTTGCCCCCGCGCCTGGTCTGCCGTGGACCCACGAGCAGTGATCCGGGAAGCTGCAGAGGCCATGAAAGAGCAGCTCAAGGACCTAGACGTACGTGCCCACCTTCAATGGTGGCTTACATAGCAAATAGACCGCCTTGGCAAGGGTGGTCGGGGCGGAGCAGTCACTGTTAAGGGGGTGAGCAGCATTTTGCGGGGGGGCTGGGGGCGGCTGGAGAGACCTCTGAAACCAGCAAGCCGTGGAGCGGGTGGGGCGGAGGCAAATTTTGGTAGTGATTATACCATACTTGGTTTTCCTGGGCCTAGATACTAGAAGTGGTCTCGTTCACGGTTGTCCAGGAGCGAAACATGGTGAGCCGGCAGATTGCCACCCGAGTGATCCAGGCTCTCTCCAGCGCTCTGCTGCCAAGCTGCAAGGAATCGCCAACTGCTTTGGAGGCCACAGGGCTGACAAGCTCCAGTGTTTTTACAAGCCCAATGTATACCCTAGTATACTATAGTTGTTTCCATTTTCTTTTCCATTATACCCATAAGGGTTCTCGTCTAAACTCCTAGTATCCCCCTTAGTATCCCCTATAATAGCTGCAAGCGTTGTGCCTGTCAGCCAAGGCTGGCGAGACCCGACATGGACCGGCACATTGCAGGGTGCGCAGAGGGCTTTCTGCATCTCGCCAGCCTCCGGCTCCTCAGTCGAGAGGACCTTTCCTAGGCCTCGAGGGCGTTTGAGCATAGAACCGTCGGAGATAGCAACAGTTGGACCACTTTCGCATGAGAATGGCATCGCAGAATCCATTTGGCCTCGCTTGCCTGGTGCATGTCACCGCGAGGACAGATCCACCTTCCATTGGCAAAGAGATTTCCGTCTCAGCCGGCATGGATTTGCAGAGCATGCAATGAGTGAGTGCAGGGCTCAACGTGATCGGTGGCACAAGGGTTTTCTTCGTGTTTATTTCCTGTTTGCCGCCACGGGTGCAAGGTACTGCGACTTACTTTTTGATGCCTGCTATGCCGACAACCCCATCTGTGCTTTGGCTGAAGTCTCGGGCTACAGTTGAGCTTGGCCGCTGCAGTGCCCCAAGTCATGGCTCATTGCCCATAGAACTCACAAGGTCACATGTACGATGACGACGAAGCTGGCACAAAGGTGCCTCTGACTCGCATCAGACCGAGCTTTGTGGCCCGGCTGCGCCGATCGGATTCCGAGTTAAAGGCACCGACGGAGTCGGAGCTGGCAGAGTCCACAACCACAGTGACTTCGCTGGCATCTACGGCTGCGGTCCCAGATCAGTCTCCTGGCAAGCAAGCAAGCAAACAGGCATGTACGAGGTATCAGCCACAAAGCTGTGCAGCCAGCCTTGAAGCGAAAGGCCGTCACTGCGGGAGCTGGTCGATGCAGTCGAGCATGGCAGGATGAGCGAACTGGATGGGAAGTCTGTCTTCGAGGCTCTGTTGAGCTACAAAGCCAAGGCGCCATTGATCGTCACACCTACATGCAACAAATAAGTGTTGGATCATGTTGTGCTGTGCTCCTAAAGGATGATGGACTCTTCTTGATATTTGATCCCAAGCGCATCGTCCAAAATCATTGCAGTAGCACCAGAGGGGCTTCAAGCAGCAAGATTGGCCTCGGTCGCTGCACGTTAAAGAGCATGAGTTGCGGCTTGGGGTCCGACGTTTGTATGAAGCTTGTCGAATCTTCCCCATAGATTTCGCAGAGAGCACGCATTAAAGCCGCCGCCCCCATTACCTTTTCAAAAGCCTGAGCGCAGGCAACTGCTCAGGGTCACTTCTGCCTCGGCTCAGTCTGGATCCGCCTGGAAGATCCGATTCCAAGGGATACGGTGACTAAGGCTGGATGCCAGCAGCTCTTGTCCTTCACCCAAAGCAACAAGCTGGTACCCAAGCCACAGGCAATCCACAAGTACCAGAACACCTGGCCAGAGACTCTCGAGGCATGGTAAGCAGCCACGTAAGGCGTATACGGCCAGAAAACCCATGTTGCAGAATTTATGACCCTCATATAACCCAACAGTATCCCTACATAAACCCAATAAATGCCCTGCTGTATACATATATACTAGGAGTTTCCGTTTTCTTTTCCATGGTATAACATATTGACCTTTACTTAGGCAAAGGGCCGCCTGCAGATGTCCTTGCGGGAAGCGCAGCTCTTACTGCTGGCATTGGATGCCTACGCATCACACAAGGCCAGGAAGCAAGGAATGCGCTAAGTAGCTTCGAGTAGCTTGCGGGCTGGTCCGGGGAATGTGTTCAAAGAAGTGTTGCCGGCATGACATCAAAACCGATCTTGCTACAGCTACACAAAAGCTGTTGTGCACTTGTGCAGCTTCGTGGAAGGCCCAGGGCGGCGAAGTGTCAGAGAAGGCACGGTCCTGGCATTCACGGCGGCCCTCTTCACGATCTGCTGGAAGCTCAGGTGAACGTTATGCGCTTGCGCCAAGCGACACGACAAACAGCCGAGGTCTCCGAGTCCAACGAAGGAGCTGTCAGCAGCTTCTGGAGGCCAGTGATTACTGAATTGCGACTCGCCCGGCACAGCAACAGATTTGCGCAATCCACAACAGTCAAACAGCAGATGAGCTTTGGAACCTTGGCCAGGAAGCCCTCGATCAGCTCATCGATGCTGGGCTTCAGACCTTGGCGAAGACATGGCTAGTCGCGTGAAAAAGAACTCCCCAGTCGCAGAGTCATCTTCAGCTGTGACCCCTCCTCGCCGAACGGGTCAGACGGCCGCTTCCAATGTCCCAGGCCTGCATTTTCATGCGCCCCGCCAGCTGAGCAAGAGGACTGCATAGATCATGCCAGCCTGGAACTTGTACACCCGCAAAGCTCTCAGGACCTTGATTGAACATCTGCTGCCACAGACTCGCTGGAGAAAGCAAAAGACACAAGAACATGACGGCTGTAGTTTCCGCCTGGCACAGCTGGTGCTAGCTGGTGCAGGTTATCTAGACACATGTTTTGCGAAACAGGTGAGAACTTTGCCGTCAAGGCACTATTTGTGCAAGGTTGCATTACTTCTGTTCTGTAATTTACAGAAGGAGTTTGTGCAAGGCTGCAGACATGTGTAAGGCTAAGTCCGGAGTTGCACAGCAGCTGCGGAGACCACACCATGGCAGCAACAGTTTGCTTCGTAACCCGTTTGGCTCTGGCAGCTTTCACCATGTTTTCAATAGCCGGGGCATTTCAAGCCTTCATCTCAATCACGCTGATTGTGTTTTTCCCCATGAGCAACTCACATGAAAAGACATCTCTGCTCCAAGGCTGTCGGAACACGATGGCTTGCCCGTGCACTTGGCTTAGGAATCCAAGTGCACGGAAAACAAGTGACAATCACACTTGTGGCATCCACTGTGTCGAGCGTGCAAGGATGTTGAGCTGCTGCTCAGGTATGGTTATTTGCACTTTGCGTTCGCAGCACGCCCCTCGACAGCATGCAGGTTCCTGCCTGGCAGCGAGGTAGCTCCGACCACAGAGGGCACCATCATGCGTGCAAGTAGCAGCTACACCAGTTTCTGAGGAGGGGCTGCGCTACAGATGGTGACTGTGCTGCTGTCAGCAGCCTGAGGGGCTACCTGCCAGATGGGACGTTTTCTCCACAAGTGGTCAGCACACACAAGCAATAACACCACTGCTCAGGCCTGCACAGCTGGAACTGGCACAACGTGCACAGGGGCGGGGAATCTCGGATGGGTAATGGGGATGGCAAGCAGTTTTCACTGCAGACTCCTGCAACAAGAGAATTAGCAACAGCTTGAACTCGAATGTTTTCAAGGTGTTTTGCGATACGGTGCGCGGACCTCGGAGATCATTGAAAATCTCCCTTGTTGCATGGCAAGCGTGGCCAGTGCAAAGCTTGCCCTCAACGGCTGCACCTTCATGCCTCTCTCGACACAGACGTAGCAAGATGGCTGTTGACATGCGCAGGATACTTAAAGTGAATCATGGCATGAGTTGCGTTCATCAGCCGGCCTCGAACATACTGTGCTGTTGTGCAATTGCTACCTGCTCACAACTTGCCATTGCGATCTCTGGGCACCTTCCATGCAAGGTTCAGCCGGTGTGACTGCCCGAGCGAGGCCAGGATTTTGAAGTAAATCATGCATGTTTGGACAGATGTGCTGTAGCTGTGCAAACGCCATGATAGAGCTGATGCTGCAAGAGTGCCTGCGTAGCCTGGCCTGCAGGGCGCAGTTGTGGCGTAGTTTCGCGTAGGCACGTAGTCTCGTCCGCCAACCGTGCCGTTTGAGTAGCCTGCACGTTTTGCAACTAAGAAGAGGTTCGTGCTGCCTAGAATGGTCTGTTCTACAGAGAAAACAGCAAGCTACGTAGTTCGCTGGGACTTCTGTGTTTGCACAGGAATCTAGCTCCAGAAAAAAACAAGCCCCAGCTGGCCTCTTCAATGCAACTGGAGAGTCCGTTTGTCCACACCATGCTTGACAGGCAGTGCTTCGTGCTGATGGTTCCTGCGAGGCAAGAGTCAGCTAGATATCTTCCAGAGCCAACGTCTGTACATCTGAACATCTGAGCAAGAGCGGTCCCCTGACTCGGACCAAGGTCGCTTCTACGACGGCACCCGAGGTCATCCTGGCCTCAGCGAGTTTGCCCACTGTGTCGTCTCATGTGATGTTGGCTGCCAGCCCATGTGTAGGGCAGGCTGCAAGTTATGATCGGGCAGCTTAGCTGTTTCTGGCGCCAAAGCTGCGCCGCTCAACAAGCTTTGGTGAACAAGGTTGACATTGTTGAGGACTTCCTTGGGCATCCTGCTAGACACTTCCCTAACAAAACAGTGTTTCTGATTCTTTCTCACCGGGCAACTGCTTTGCTGGCCTACGGGGCCTTTTGTTACCTTGCGTTTGTTTACGTCTGCCTCCGCAAAGCCGGATGTTGACTTTCCATGCTTGCAAGCACGTATGGCCATGCCATGGTGAGACTTCTCCTGGCAGCCTGCCTCCAGGTGAGGTTGCAGTACTGGAGCAATGCAGCACAAGCAATGCAACTTACCCGCAGCTCCCAGGGAGTCCTGTACTGCTGTCGGAGCTGGCACATCGAGGGCCAGGCCAGACTAAAGCAACTTCGTTTGTTTGCATGGCTGGCAGAGTTCCAGGACTGGGTGGTGGCACCCTCAGTTCGGATGTAAGTTGCATCATCCCGTCTCTGAACCGTGAAGACAACAAGGTGTCCACTGGGATTCCAGTCAGCCTGGAAATCCACGGGGTCAATCTGACATCCAGAAACAGGCAAAGGGTGCGTGCATTCCCATGAGGCGCCCGGTGCCTGCAATACTACCTGAGGCTTCGAGTAGTGGGTCCAAATTCAACTTGCGATGCAAACGGCGGCACGCGTCCTGTTTTTGGTCAGATCTTCGTGACAAAGCCCATGAAAGGCGATGCATTCCTCAGGTCACTCGACAGTCTTGCCCTTTGTCGTGAACTGCACAACTGGCTGCACACAGGCACCACTTACTTGTTGCCCTTAATCATTAAGCATTATGCTCGAAGCTTGTTTTCTTCAAAAAGGTCACAGAAGGCACGAGCCTGGCTCTGCACACCTGCGCCTCTGACAATGTTCGGCACCAAGACGTCTGAAGTTCCAGGTTACAAGTTCCAATGAAGCCAGAAGATGCTAAGCTGCTAAATAGCCTAGAAGCCTTTGCATTTTGCCCGGTGTGGCGCTCCTTGTGGCACTTATGCCTTACGAGTGCTTCATGATTTCGAGAGACCTTGCTGTCCTTCGCGCAAGCATTCCGAGCGTGGATTCAGGCCAGCGTGGTGGCTGTACGTGTCCAGAGTGCTCAAGCCGTTGAGGCCAGACTGTGCATGAAAAGGCTCTTCCTGTGAACGCTGGGGTATGCTGGGGTATTGCTGGCTGCCTTTGTCTGTTGGCCGCGGTTTGCCAGGTGGAGTTCGATGTGGTGCCAGGTCTTCAATCACGTGACAGGACAACCTTTGCGTTGCGACAAGTTGGCAGAGGGTTTCTGATAATCTCTTAGAATTACTGGTACCGCGATTACTATTACTGTTACTATTATTACTACTAATTATGGAGGTCCAGGGACTCAGCTTGCGTTTGCCAGCCGCTTGTGCCCGCAGTATTTCAGCCCAAGTTTGGTCTCTAAGGCGTTCTGACAAGACCAACTTCACACTTGTATGCAGCTGCTGGCGCCTGAAACTGTAGAACTCAGGAAGTTTGCAACCCCGAAGCAGATTGCATAGCTCGCAGACTCGTCGCAGACATGGCCACACCTCCCGCTAAGCGGCTGGGTGAGCTCTGCAACTTCTTCTCCTTAGAACAGGCTGTGATCTGAAGAGGTTTTACCCAAGGGCTGCAGCTGCAAATCTCAAGCAAGATACGAGGATGCTTCACACTTCTGAAGCGAAGGCCTTGCTGATCTCACTTTATTTTGGAGGCAAGGGCTGTTATCGTGAGTGACGTGAAGCTGGACGATGTTCTTTGCTTGCAACTCTGCCGCATTATCCGTTCCTGGATGTTCATCCATAGATTCAAGGATCTTGTGGCTTGGGGGATTCCAGCGGTCAGAGCTGGTAATAGGACACTGCTACCCTAACCCCTGCATAATCCAGGTTCCATTGAATTGTCCATTTTCTTTTCCATCTGATTCTCTGTTATTGGGATTATAGGCCCCCATTAGTCATTGAGTGTGTGAAGCTCAAGTTTTTAGAGGCAGAGCAGAGCCAGGTGGATCTTCTTGATGTATAACTTCGCGCGCCCTGCGCATCACAAGGTGCAGCTAGAGCCTGGGCTGCGCACTTCCACAGAGACTTTTCCTCTTCCAAATCGCACAGATCCACCAACGCATACTCAGTACAGTTTGGAGACTTTCCCATTTGAGAGATGCCTGCAAAGATTAGATGCCAGCTCGGCATCCGTTATCCGCAGTGCCTTGGTGTGCCGCCAGTGGTGCAACGTGTTGAATGTGTGTCTGAGGATGTGTACATCACTGGCATTCGTGATTCTGAAGCTGCAGCCTGCTTGGCGCAGACTGTTTTCGAGGCAGCGCAGGCTGCAGTGGCAGAGCGTGGTGCATGCAGCGTGGCAGCATGCGAGACATTGCGGGACAATGCAGACAAAGATTCCGTAGCTTAACAGTCCCACATATGTGGCCGCGCAGCCGTAGACCGTAGATGCATGAGCAGGAGCGCAGCAGATTGCACCCAGGCTGTCCCATAGCGTTTCGCGCGCTGGCATCAAAACGGCCTGCAAAGTCTGCCCCACGCCACGAGAAGGACACATATGCGCCATTCCGTGACCCGTGGCTGCAAAGTTAGGCACTGGAAGTCAGCAGAAGGATCGCTGCAAGACTCTGCAGTGCCCTGAACAGCCGAACTGTCTTGAGTCCCCTCGCCGGAAGCTGCTTGCAAAATCGTTGGCCAAAAACTTCAGCTTCAGGACGGCTCTGCCGGATTTCCGCAAGCAAGCGAGCGCTCGCTTTCATTCTGGGAAGATTTGTCCGAGGAGGCAGGAAATTTCTGGGTGTGGCATGGCTGCATAGATTTTTACGAACAACGCGGGCAAATTGGCTTGTCAGCCACATCCCGGATAACAAAATTGTCTTGAAATCATTTCCAGTGCGCGTGCCAGTGCGCAGGCCCGTCAAGCTGATTTTGTGGGTGTGATAGCCCAGTTCTTCAACTTTGAGGCCTGGGACGGCAAGGAACCAGAGAAGTCCGTCAGCAACCTTGAAAATCTTGCTGCACGACAGGGACTGCTACAACTTAACGCTACGGAGCCATAGACTTGGCAAGAGACTGTTGCTAAAGCTAGTCACCCTACCTAAATTATCTACATTTGGAGAGGTCTCCACCGCCCGCCAGACGTGATCAATGTCTCAAAAAGCCGTCAGGGCATGTAATCTGACAGATGTGTCCTGGTAGGCGCTTGAAGTACATGCTGCTTTGACAATGATAGTCTTTGTGATTTGTTTCAAAGCTTGCAGGCTGTTGAGGACATCAACCTCCTCGACTTCATCGTGCCGAAACGTGGAGGTTCACGCTCTGCAAAGAAGCATTCCAAACGGGCATTCCTCCCCCGCTGCTGATAGCCTAGTCTCGCTTCAAAGTCTCAACAACAATGACAAAACTTTTTGGGATTGCAGGCATCCTTGTCTTCCAGAGCGGGTTCAACACCCGGGTCCCTGCGCATGCAGAGGACTTGGTCTGGGGCACTTTGATCGACAAGGCTGGGCCTTGCAGCTTGAACCACTGGCATTGCAGTGGTATGTCGCGGTCCACTGCCCCTGCCCTTCTGGTCCTTGAAGTTGTTCACAGCTCAACACTTGCTCACTCTGTTTCCCTATCAGGTGCGAAGAGCAGGCGCCAAGATAGCGCTGATCAGCAATGCCTTCAGCTTCGACAAGGCAGTCAACATCCGTCAGAGCAAAATTGTTCCGGCTAGCTCCGAGGAAGAAGCTGCAGTTTCTAGAAGTCATCAGCAGCTTGATATGGGGATCTTAATCGCAGAGGGACTGCAAGTGGTCGCAATATGTCGCAATGACATTCAGTTAAGCCAGTTAAGCCCATGAGATTTCTTGGCAAAGGCAACTGGCAAGTCTGGTGTGATCCCACCGGATGGAGAGGTTATGAAAAAGCTGGAGCACCTGTCTTCAACTCTGTGGCCACTTGCCAATGACAAAAAACTGCACAGATTGCTTTGCAGTGATACGGTAGGTGCCTGGCTGTCTTCCATCCAAGGACTCATCTGCGTGAGGCAGGACTGAAAGAGGCGCTGCGCTTCTCGGTGGACCAGATGGCAAAATGGCTGACGAAGGCCAGACGTTCCCTTCTTAACCCCCTTGCACCCTTGAGCAGCCTTTGCGGCTCTTGGGATGCAAGCCCTGCTTAGAACAGAAGTTTTCCAAACTTCCACATAAGCTCTTGGTGTGCAGGTCCCGATGGCAGGCTCGGCCATGCAGGTTCTTATGCTTGGCCTCCTGGTATCAGGTACTTGTAGTGAAGTACAGGACATGTCGCAGATGGGGCAGCGGAGTTGCGGCCTTCGTATTGACGTTGACCTCACGTTGATTTGCGAGGTGTTGACTTCTCCAACAGCAACTTGGACGAAGGCCTTGCTGCCATTCGGACAAAGTATGGCATCCCGGAGGTGCCCGATGCCGCATCCTGAGGTCTTCTCAGTCTTAACGGTGACGAGAACTCCCAGCTCGGCCATGGTAGCTGAGGAGTTGCTTGAAGAATATGATTCGCGGTCAACAATACCGTATACTTCATCTAGTCTAGGCGGCAGTTGCTGCGCAAAAATCCACAAGATCGATAGGGGACGTCCTAAAAGTGTAGGCTTAATTCATTTAAGCTAGGCTCAAGAGAAGATCCCCCCAAAACGTAGAAATCGATAGGGGACGCCCCGATTTAAAAACCAATAGAGGCCAAACAAACAAGTAGTTTCGACGCCAGCTCATATGCTGTTCACACATTGCTGTTTAACCGCCTGGGCCAAGAAGCACGCCATGCATTGGTTCGACCATGAGGTCGGTGACCACCTTCAGGGCCAGTATCTGCTGGCGCGCCAGGCTGGCACGGAGGCAAGACTAAGAGGGCCTCTCAAGCGGCAGTTCTCAGCATGCGCAGCTCTGGTCTCTGCTAGCTCCTGCAATGCTTGCAAAGCTGCTGTGACAACGTACTGTTCGCTGACATGTTGGGAAGGTCAATCCAGTGCTCTCAACCTGCCGTAGCATGGCTGAATCTTGATAGAATGCGAAGCTTCAGACAACATGTCATGATCGGCCTGCTAGAACTGCTGCAGCTATTATTGATCTAAGCTTCTGCAAGTTCAAAACACTCTGCACTGACTTGCTGGCCATTGACTTCAGATGTGTTCATTGATGTTCAGGCGTGTCGCTTGGGCGCTCTTGCTCGCTCTCCCCTCCCCTGCATTGCTCTCCCTCCCTCTTTCTGCCATCGTGTTCGTATCTGCATCATATGAGCAGCAGTTTTTTTTTACGGTAGATCAATTA